GATCCCGCACACCCACCGCGTCGCCGCGCGTGCCGCCTACCGCCCCGCGCGTGCACTTCATGGACACCAAAAAAGGGCCTCAAAAAGCGACCCCTTCTGCAGACACAAGCCCGATGTCGCCACCTGCGACATTGCACGCTTCTCCACCCGCGATGTCTCTCCCGCCCATTAGTGAGACAACACCCCTAATTCGCAGGGCGTCTTCACCACCTTCCTCTCCTCCCTTACCGCCGAACGGTCATTCGCATACACGACCGAATTCCAAGCCGTTCCCTGCCCGTCTACGAGGTAGCATGACAACAGTTCTGAATGCCGTACCGCATGTTCTAGAAGTGGCTCTCCAGAGTATCCCCGCGGTCCTTCTTGGATGTCTGTTGAACATCTTGGACGGCGTTTCCTGTACGTTCGTTTGCTTCTTGTTCTTATTCTTGTATTCCCCGCGATTCAATCCTCCTACAATCTTATCCTCTGTCAAACATTCCAAGTTTCGGCTTTACACGTTCCAAAAATAGAACACTGACATAGCTTCTTTTGGCTTGGGCCATACAGATGGGATGATCATCTTCCCTGGTACGGGTGTCTTCTCAGACCTTGGGCCGATGGGCGTCTCCATGTTTTTTCTGTCGTAAGTATCTCGTCTTTTGAAGCTCGTCGCATGTCTTAATTCTGATCACGCTCTATCCAATCATCGCTGTCTATCCTTTCCTGTCTCACGACGATACCTCTCTCTTGGCAACCACCACTAGCACGACACTCGCGCAATTGGTGTACACCTGTGGTGGTAGCGGGTTCGCAGGTGCGAATGGAAGTATGATGATCGAAGTCGTGGTAAGTCTCCATGCCTCGTGATCGACCCCCCTTCTCGCACCATCTCCACGCCACCCCTACTACAACACTCGCCGATCATTTATCTTCGTTGTTATACTTGTAACATACACAACCCAACTAACTCCGAACCTCCGCTCCTCTTAATCACCCCAGCCCTTCTTCCATATTCTAGCCAACGACATCGCGTCCCAAATAGGCGAAGAGCATCCAAAGGAGGTCATTGCTACCACGCTCGCCGCCTTCGCGCTTAGTTCTATCCTGACAGGTGGGTGTCGTGCCTAAGTCATTGCGTCCGGCCGCAGCTGGGTCCAGTGCTGACTCGAACACATCCCAGGCCTATCTTTCTTCCTGCTAGGCGCGCTCAAGCTTGGTGTTTTGATCGGCTTCTTCCCAAGACACATTCTTGTCGGGTACGTTCGTATCCTTTTGTCGAATACCACCGGAGCCGGCTCACATGACCTACCCCTTGCCCTCAGATGTATAGGTGGAGTGGGCGCGTTCCTCATCCTGACCGGGTACGGCCTTCTTTTCCCCATTCCATCCGAAACTCTCTACTGCGGGTGCTGACTTGTGACTTGTGATGACTTTCAGATTAGCGGTAAGCATGCGGGTAGGCGACGACGATGTTGGAGCGGACTGGAAGACCATCGAGATGATGTTTCTGGATACGCATAACTTGATCCTCTGGGTCATACCTTTCCTTTTGGCCGTCCTCTTGAGGGTGATCACGCATAAGTTCCAGCATCAGCTGATCTTCCCGATGTGTGAGTCTTTCTCTCTCATGCCTTTTTTTCGCGGATTCCTGGGTTGTGGTATGGTCCCCCGGCGTGTCGAAGGCACCTTTTCCCCTTTGACCTGGCTGTTTCTGTTACTTTGCATGTGTTCCATCCTTTACGGTGTTGCTGATGTTGGAGGGCAGATTTTCTCGTCATCCCAGTGGTATTCTACATTGTCGTTGCAGCCGCTGGTTTGGATTTGTCGGAGTTGAGGAGGTCGGGATGGTTGTTTGACATGGGACCTAAGGAGTCTGAGGCGTGGTACAAGTTCTACTCCTACTTTGGTACGGATGCTGCTTTGAGTACCCCAGGTTCTTCGCTGACGATGTCTATACGCGAATAGATTTAGGGGCGGTGAGGTATGGGGCTCTTTGGGCGACGCTGCCCACGCAGTTCGCTTTGTGGGTCGATATTCGCTCGTATACCGAACATGGTCTGATTTGGCTTAGGTTGTTCTTCAACATATTGCATCCTCCTCTCAATGTCCCTGCTCTCTGTACGCCTGTTTTCTACCCTAGCATGAGGCAGCTTTCTTATTTCATATAGCTGTATCCTTGGATGAAGACGTGGACACGGACAAAGAACTCGTCGCACACGGATACTCCAACTTCATTGCAGGGCTATTCGGAACTGTGTTCGTCATTTTGACTTGTTCAGCCATAGCGATACTTCTAATCTTTTCGAATCGCAGACCAAACTACCTCGTCTATGTGAACACTCTTCTGTACGTCCTCGGCACCATGTGAACCCTGATTGCACTCTGATGACGTGGTTTCTAGATTTTATCGTGTTGGAGGTGGAAACAGGATCGCCGGATTCCTGCTCGCCATAATGACCGCTGTGTTACTTGTTATTGGGACGGCTCCTATTGCTTATATTCGTAAGCTCTGAGATCTCCGATAGTGGGGTGTCATGTTGATGTCCTCTCTCTAGCGGTCATGGTCGTTGGTGCCTTGATCTTCGTTCTAGGTATCGACCTTGTTAAGGAAGCTCTGTGGGATACGAGGCATCGGACTAGCAGGTAAGGGTCGTACCTTCTAACAGCGTTTATCGTCTAATGAAATTGCGCATCTAGGACAGAGTACATCACAATCATCAGTATCATGATATTCATGACAGTATGGGACTTCGTTGTTGGAGTGATATTCGGCATCATCGCGAGCTGTAGGTCTTTCTTAGTAACGGACCCAAGACCTTGCTGATGGAGTGAATAGGTTTCTTCTTTGTTGTGCAGAATTCACAGCGGAGAAGCATTCGTTCGCTTCGTTCGGGCGAAACTGTTATGTCAACTGTCCGTAGACCGAGCCTACAAAGGGCGTACCTTCGCGAGCTGTCCAAGCAGACCACCATTCTGATGCTTCAAGGTCTGAATTTTCCTCTCATCTCGGTCACGGCACTTAGTTTGACCACTGGCTCAGGCTTCCTCTTCTTCGGCACCATATCACACGTAGAGGACACTATTCGAAACATCATCGAAGGCCCATCGTGGCAGAGTAACCCCGTACGGTTCCTTGTTCTGGATTTTACGCTTGTAGCAGGAGTCGACATGTCGTCTGCTGAGGCGTTCGTGCGGATACACCGGTTCTTGTCGGCGAAGTCGGTGACTATTGTCTTCTGCGGGTTTTCGGCCGAGTCTTCTGTGGCGAAGGCACTGGAAAGTGTGCAGGTGCTGGGATCGGACCATGTGGAGCTCTTCTCGACGTTTAATGATGCGATGGAATGTGAGAATCGTTCATATCATCTTTTTCGAGATCTATGAGGTCTGATAGCTGTGTTTTTAGGGACTGAGAACGCCTATCTGCGAGCATGGTATATGGCGCAGAAATATGAAGTCACCTCGACTGCGTTCGGTGCGTATACCCTTAGAAAAAGTCGTATTCCAACGATCTAATGTTTTCCGCAGCCTTGCCGGGTCGCCAGAACCATGACGCTGAACAGCACTCGTTGAACTCCATTGTCTCGTCGCCCAGAAGATCCTACATGCATGACGTGGGAAGTCGAACGATAGCCAATGGTCTGCTCCCTTTTTGCTTCCGGAATACCTCCTTACCTTATCAATCCAGAGATTTACAAAGTGGAAGATCCAGAGTATCCCAGCGAACCTCAGAACATACTCTCCAAAGCGTTTTCATCTTACGGTGAACTTGACCATGACCTCTTCCGACCCATCGGGAAATACCTCGAGCGAGTCTCTGTCCCTGAAGGCTACGTCCTTTGGAAACAGGACGATCCTCCGGACGGCCTATACATCGTTGAGACCGGTGTGCTAAGAGCGTCATACAAATTCGGCGACCATTTGGACTGTGTTGAGGAGTCGATGGTGCCGGGGACAGTTGCCGGGGAGCTCTCCGCGTTGTCTTCGCTCCCGAGGAACGCCACGGTCGTTGTAGAGCGTTCCGCCACACTGTGGCGACTGAGCACGGAGAACCTTGCACGCTTGGAATTGGAAGAGCCCAAGTTGGCGAGATGTTTCTTGCGACTCATTCTCAAAGGTTCGTGATTTACGCTTATGGAGTGCCTGTGTACAATAACAGTAATATGTCGTTCTAGCTGCGAAAATTGACCATGACATTCTTCTCTCTGCGTTAGCATCAAGACGATAGCACCGACTCGTAACTTATTATATCCCTAAACACCTATATTCCGTTTAGTCTTGGCTTTTTACTATTTTTTAGGGTTTGAGGACGGCTCACCCATATCCTGGCCAGCGATGTATTAGACGATAAACTATACACGGGCTAAAAAAGAAGATGCTTGCAACTGCCGCCGCACTGTTTTTCGTGTCGTTCAGGGTTTCTGTGCCGAGTGACTCCGAGTCGCCACTCACGTTGGCCAGCACCAACAAATGAAATTCCGATTCTTCATGCAGCAGGTATTTGCTGTATGATTCAATGTTATTGGAACTCACGTTCCGTCTTGGACACACTTTTTTGTCCAACGCTCGTCAGCGAGATCCTTGAGATTCGCCCACATGCAACGTAACGTCGGATATCTGTCATCCAATATGTCGCCTGTCATCCTCATAGGGCAGATATCCAAATGTAGCCCGAAATCATCCCACCTCCGAAAATTTACTGAGTGCCTCATGATATCGTCAGGGCTGACTGATGATACTATAGCCAATGTGACTCTATTCACCAGGGAGGCTCTTTTCACGATGGTCCTAAGCAGCGGCAGGATTTTGCGGATTTTGTTCTTGGCTTCATGCGAGGGATGTGGATGTAATGCGGGATGGTGCAAGTCAGGCATCCTAATGGATGGGCCGTCCGGCGCTCTTAGAGGCTCTTAGATAGTGCTTTGATGTGGATGCTCACCCAAGTGGGCAGGGCAGGGAAGATGAGGTTTTGGGTGCGATACCTCATCACTATGAATGTTCAGAGCTATTTCAATCTCATCGGGGGCATAGCTCAGTTGGGAGAGCAGCAGACTGAAGTTCAACTGACTTTCCAATTTTCTGAAGGTCCCGCGTTCAATCCGCGGTGCCCCCATTCCCTACTAAGCGAATTTTTTAGGCCACTGCGAAACCACGCTAAGTTATAGTATCGTTGGACTGACCGGATTTCGACTTTCTAACTTCTAACTTCTAACAGCTTACGTAGAATATTCTCGAGCTCCCTTTGAGTTGTGAAAGAATGATCAGTAAGTTACTTCATTAGTTATTGCCCAGGATAGAGGCGACGAGGCATTAGGGTGGACGACAGAATATGGCGGAACTCACGTCGATTCGTTACGCGGATGTATGAATTGAAATACTGACTGGGACCTAAGTATCGTCCACTGAAAACTCTGATACGTTGTTACGTTCCCTAAACCATGCGCTACACGAATACTGTACACTTCTCTTGCACTACATACAAGCTTACAATTCCAGGTCAAGTGACAAATTTATGCCTCAATCCACGCGATGACCTCTTCCGCCCAGGTTTCTCCCTGTCCCGTTCCAAGCGCAGCGTGACCACTGATATGGTTATGACCTTGCGCGACGATCTTCACGGGCGCTTTGCCTGTTCGAGCTCTAAGAGCCTCCCCGAAATCATCGCCCGCTGTCAAGAGCCATTCCGGCTCGCGTTCCGCTACAACCAGCACAACACGCGGTAAAGCTGCGACTGTGGCATCAGATGCGTCGCGCAAAAGTCCCATCGTGGCCTTCTCCTTCACCCCATCCGGCCCGCCCCAGAGCTGGTTTACGATGCCATGCATCCCGTCATCCGCATCGAGCCCTTCAAAGTGGTGCGCTCCGGCACACAAGATCGCGCCAGCGATGCTTGGTCGCAGAGCCGTAGTTTCGGCCGTCTCGGGAAGGACCAGGGCAGTGAAAGAGTGGACAGCGCCAGCGGAATGGCCCATCAAAAAGATGGCCTTTGTGTCTGGGTTCGGAGTAGTGGGAGTTGTGAGATTCTCTGGGTTCTTGATAACCCAAAGCACAGCGTCGCGCACGTCCTCCGCGGCTCCTGGGAAAAGAGCATCGGGAACAAGTCGGTAGTCAGGGATAACGACCACGAATCCCCGCCGCGCGAAGTATGCTCCAACACAAGCGTATAATAGGTCAGCGGGCGGCGACAGCTGACGTTCCCCAGTCACAAAACCACCACCATATACCCAGACTAGAATTTGGGTCTTTTCAGACGCACTAGGGGTGAGGGGGTAGTATACATCGAGCTGCGTTTTGATTAGCTATTGACGCGGCCAAAACGGCAAGAACATACCTGGTGGCGATCCGTGGACCCGTATTTGAAAGTCTTCCTGGGTATTTCACTTATCTCTGACCGCTTCTCCTCTAACAAGGGAAGGAACGCTGCGACGGCTGCGGATCACAATTAAGGGAGGATGCACTAGCCTAGTATGCATAGTAGACGAACTAGGTCCGAGAACAGCAGAGATTTCGGTTGACTTGATCTCGGCAATCTTCTCCATCTCTGCAGCGATAGTTTGTTTAGGTACGGAAGTGGGTAAAGAATCTTTACCCCCTCCCGTAACATATCGCTCTTTTAATAAGGAAATGTTGACAAGAATCACAAGACCCACAGTCAATCAATAATTCGGCCCGCGGGAGTTCCAAGCTTCACGAGGACGCTCATGCTCGCTCGTACTAGTAGCTAGATGTCCGGGTTGAGAACTCGAATAGCCAGTCTTAGTTGCCAACATGTTTCGACCAGCAGGGCCTAGCAGGGAGACAGGAGAGTGCAATTGCCGTGATGCTCGAGTAATTCAGCCCACCGTTCATGCCATGTCGACGTTTCGTCTGTTCATGCTGAGCTTACACCGGGTAACCTCAAGGGTAGGCGAGTAGGGCGTTGGAAGTATTCCAAGATCAGCAAATTGGGGAAAACCTGGTGGGGCTCTCAAGATTAGATGGTGATGATCAAGAGATAAGCGTCGGATACAGGATCGGTGACTATGCTGAGTTTTGCGGAGTCAAAGCTTTTTCTGTTGAAGACTTGGTTCATTATCAACAATTTGAAAACAGAAGCAACTGTCCTACGACCACGGTTCTATCGAACCATCTATCATCATGTTACTCGATAGCAAGCTAACCGCCCCCCCCCCCCCCCCCCCCCCCCCCTCCCCCCAGCTGGGCCTAAGGCGCCCGATTTAGTCCCTGCTAGCCGAAATCCTGTGGCTCCGAGTCGATAGGTTGGACGTGATATGCTGTGGCTCTTGGAGTTACTCTGGGTCACTACGTACGAAGCTATGACCTAGATCCGCTTTGGTTCACAGACAAGAACTCGCCATACATTTCGTACAAGCCGCAAAGATCGTTGAGCATACCCCGAACTGTTTTCAGGCCACATACTTTAAGGGCCGATTTCACTTGGACCTCTTTGCTTTGACCTCTTTGAAGCCAGAGCGCGAGGAAGTTCAATTTCGAATAGACGTGCCCTGGTATTGCGCTGAAGTGCCTCAGGGACCAATAGCACTCAGTATCACCAGCTCCTTTAGGTTCTCCCGTCGCCTTCATCCGTGACCGACTCTACACACTAAGCCGACATATATATTTACACTCTCCACCCTCTCCCACAAGCGGCAGGAGTCCTGACCAGCTCCCACACCAGCGTCTACTCACTAAGCTCCGCGGCTGGACTAGTTCGCTGGTCGTTCGTTACCTTCCCCCGTCGCTACAAATGCCGACGACTTGCGTGCTAGACCACATAGTCTATGGCCCGCAGAGACATGACCATAACGCAGAACAAATCTCCTCACCGACGAAGTTGGCTAGTCCGGTCCTTTGGACTCTTAAACAATGCGCTTGTACTGACATCCTCGCTTATGATCACCATGTTTTATGCCACCTTGCGCGCTTATGCCTCTCAAGAATATCAACCTGTCATATGTTTCGCAGACAATTCAATCCTACAAATACAATAGTCATGAATACAGCCCCTCTCATTCGTTTCGTTAAGCTTTATAGAAACCATTCCGATCCCAGTTCTTAGGAGGGTCGCCCTCCCTGACCCTCCCCAGTCTGCCCGCAGCCAAACCAGAAACTCGGATGAACAACGACCCGTCCAATTTATCCGCGTCTTTCAGCTCTGTCCCCTTGAAATCAGGCTGGCCAGCCTCCCTCGTCCCATATAGGCTGCCGTAGTGAGCGAGTGCGCGTTGAAGTTTGGGGAAATGGTCGTCCGGATGTAGGAGGGCACTCTCAATGATTGGAAGCCAAGCGTTTGGCGTGACAGCTTTTGCGGGGTCGGAAGGGTGGAGTGCGTCTTTGTGCGGGGTCGGCAGGGGTCCAGAGGGTGGCGGGTGGGGTGAGGTCGTCGCATAAAATCCCTTGATGTCGAGGTTGGGGCGACCTCGACTCACCCACCAACCTAGACAGACAAGTAGATAGCCTCGTAGAAGGTGCTCTTGGGACGAGGGTGTCAGGTAGGCCGTATAGGAAGCAAGGAAGATGGACGAGGTGACCAGATGCATACTAAAGGAGTTGTATAAGCAACGGCACATATTCACAATATACACATTTTGATACGCACTGGAAGAAGTCGGAATTGAAAGGCTTGTCAGGCGCCCATCCCCCAACGCCGAAGATAAGTGGGTTCATCCAGCTAAGTTCTTCGATTTTACGTTTAACGTCACGCGGGTTGGTGGCGTCGACGTGCCAGTCAGCCATATGCTTGACCAGCGCACTGACATGATTCTTCATCGTCGTTGAAAACATTCCAGAGCCGGTGTCGACCACTTTCCCAAGCTCCGGGTCATTCAAGACGCGTGCCAAAACGGTGAAGACATGCACTCCGTTTTTGGCACCCAGTTTCTTCGACTCTGGCTGTGACACGACGAGAGACTTGAAACGAGACAACGTGTCCTCCACGCCCTTAGTACTCCCACCATAATCGAAAAAATCATCTGGGATGCCAGCAGAAGCGTCGAGCGAATGCACAGCAGCCTCCGCCAAACCTGAAACGGTCTATTTTTAACATATAAAATGACGTCACTCTAGGCTGAAACCGACCTTCAGCGACCATGCCTGGAAGACAAAACTCCAGGCCATAGCCAACGTGGATCATAGGGTGTAAAAGGCCACCCAGGAAACGATTGAAAATTTGAGGTTCCTTCCCAGCGACTCCGATATTCACGTCCTTGGAGAAGACATACTGTTCGATCGTAGCGGCCACGCCCTGTTCACGAATGATATCGGTGAAGAAGGCGAGGTAGCCTCCATAGTACCTAAGAAAATCTCATCAGAAACAGAATGTTCTGAAAGTATCACGGCAATGAAACGCACGGCTTGTCCCCAAGGTGGTCTTTAAAGTTTTTGGTGTTGATAGGCCCAGGTGGGTCAAACGCCGGACGTTGATATGTACTATCAAGCTCATAACCTGTCTTTATTACCTCCCCGGCGGCTCCAAGTGCCCAGTTTGCAATTGCGCGATGAGAGGAGTGGCTAGAAATGGAGTAAATCAGTGATGAGGCCAATTCCGGACAACTATAGATCAAACCCACTTGTGAAACCCCATGTCGTTGAAGAATATGTGCCATCTCTGGTGATTATCCTTCAGAACCTCTCGCAGCGTCGCCGTGGACTCAGGGTTGATGCCGGGCCATCGTTTCGGGACAAGCGTCGATGGCGGGGAAGACGGGATCGGGAACAAGTCGGTGATGCTGTTGTCGCTGGCCATGATGGTGTGCGTGCGATGGAACAGTCTGAGATGAGAGACATTGTCCCTCGCTTTTATAGCCCTGTGTATGGGATTTCGAAGCGTGCTTGTTCCGCTCAGCATAAGCCCCGTGACGTAATCAGTAACGCAATGACTCGAACGTATGGTTGTCCGTGTCAGCTTAGTATCACGAGCAGTGGTGCCAATGAATGCATTTGGCGGATAATATAAGCATACAAGATTGATATCAGTACCTACAGTAGGAGACAGGAAAAGTAATCCGCAGTGGTCACGCAGGTGCCACAGGTACGTATACCGTCCGAAGACGTCAAGTACCGAAGACGTCAAGTACCGAAGTCCACGATGTCTCTCTCATCAACCGGCGTATA